CAATCAATGAAGGATGGTCGATCAATGTGATCGGGCCATTGGGGCCGATTGATCAAGTTGATCGAGGACGGTTAATCAAGCTGGTCTGGGTAGCCGATCAATGAAAGATGGTTGATCAATGTAATTGGGTCCTTGGGGCCAATCGACAAACTCAACCGAAGATGATCAATCGAGTCAGTATGGGTGGTCGATTGATGAAGGATACCTCACCAATATATCTTAAGCCTACCAAAATTTCAAAAATACCCAAAATTGTCAACACTTTTCCAGGATACCCTAAATTACTCAAAACATCTCAAAATACCCCAAGATCATCAAAATGACTAAAATACCCCCAAAATTTACAAAAATTCTCAAAATTGCCCAAAATCCCCTATTTCACTAAAAAATCCACCAAATCAATTCTGGTCATCAAATCCACCCAAGTCCACCAAATTTATCAAATTTCCAAAAAATTCCCCACGATTGACCAAAATTCCCAAATTACCCAATTAACCCATAATCCTCAAAGTTCCACTAAGTTCTCCTAAATTTGAATCCCCCAAATTCCAATTTCAAATCCAATTCCCATGAATTCTAAATCCAAATTTACTTTAACCCCACATCAAAGTTAACCTAAAATCCAAAAGACACTAAAATTGAAATTACATGTCAAGTTCAACTTCAAAAAGCCTAAGTCCTAAGTTTCACCATGATGGACTCAATGACTTGTGAAATTCATCATGACAAATTTCTGACCCCATTTTAAACCAACTTCAAGCCCAAAACCAAACCTCCCATAAACAATTTTAAAAACTCACAAATCCAAGCCCAAAATCTTAAATCCAATTAACATAAATAAAGAGCCCACATGACAAAATCATTTTCCCTCTTCATCTTATCAAAATTTGACTAAGCCTAAGATATGAAATGACATGATTAATCAACCTCATTTGGAATTCATGAAATTTTCTTGTACACTTCAAATTTCCCCCCTCCTTCTTTGATGTAAGCCATGTAGGTTATTCATGAGCCATGGGCAAACCATGTGGCTTCATCCAAGCCACATGGAAGCCATGAAGCCATGTATGAGCCACCTTCATTAGCTAATATAACATTCTTAGCGATGTTACAACCTTGCCATAATCATCATTAGAACTATTGAGAATACTAGAAAAATAAGAGATGACAACACTTGCATTTCTATATTACTCTGGAACATAAGTACCATTGATCATAATTTCTTATACGAAATTGAAGCTATTCCTAATTTTAATTTCTCGGCATAGAAATTTGATATCATCCTTACCTTTAGTTAGCCAAATTCATTTAACTTTTTCTTTAACCCAACTATACTCACAAGAAATGAAATTAGAGTTCATCTTGGATCTGGTCAGTCTTGAGGAGAAGCTACATGCAGCTAAACAACTTCCCATACCATTAAAAACACTTAGAATCTTGATTTTCAAACGCCAAATTTCAATTCAAAATTTTGATAATCAGCTTTATACTATAGATTAAATTATTATTACTAAAAAAAATTAAATTATATATTTAAACATGAAAAAAAGTATTTAATTTGAACATGTAAATCATCATGCCAAAAATGACAAAAGGAGCCTCTTTCAAGATCCCCTAAAAAGCGCTTAACCACTCTAACATCTCACTTGAACCTAAAATTAATCTAAATTCACTAGATGGGGACTTAACCACAACAATTCAGCTGATCTCCAGCAGCCCTAACCACCGGGGTAGATGAACCAAACCCAAATGCATGATTTAGACCCAAGCTTCCCCAAAATCAATTCAAACCCATTCCAATTAAATCCTACCCTTATACACTTGGCACAAGCGAATTCACTTCACCATTCTCCACCACTGACCTCCTACGAGTAGATGGTGACCACCTTTGCCCTAGCCGGCCACCATGGCCGACAGCAAGCCCAAGGCCGAGAGCTACCCATGGGTCAAAACCCAAAATTCCACCCCTCCAATGTGGCTAATCCCAATTTGACACTTGCCCCTGTCAACCCTCCAACTAAGCGCCACTTTGGACACCTCACTTTGGCCAATTGACCTCAATGGCCGAGCTTATAAATAGGGCATCCCCTCATGGCCAAATAAAAAGAAGTGAACAAACCTTAATGAAGCTCTGCCAAAATTGCTCCAAAACCTTCCTTAACCTATACGAAGTTCATCTGCAGCATCCTTAGCCACTCTCTCCGACTGAGAACCCTAATTTCTCCACTATATTAATAAAAGCCAAGCCTAGTACCTGAAACAATATTCATTGAAGAGACAAATCTGAATTAGGCTATCAATTCAAGCCAATTACAACGTTCTGCTGACATTAAAGCAGCAGAAGTTCATATTCCTCCAAGATGCTGTCTAGCTAAACAAACCTTTACATATAAAATTAAGGTTTATGCTTACGTTACATATTCTGATCAAATGCCAGAAACGGAATGGGTGACATATTTAAAGCAAACAAAAACATTAACATTTGATCAACAAAACACAAGAACATTTTGACTTATATGACTGCAGAACAAAAATAACACTACAAAACCTGTTATAACTTCACTTTGACCAAAACTTCTTTCAAGAAGTTTTCTTTAGTCGGAACCCACAATCTTCTTTATGGCATCCTCAATTGCAGGGATAGCTTTTGCGAAGGCTTCCCACTGCTCCACGGTGAGGCTTATACCTGAGAATACAATAATTAGGCCAATCTGAATTTTTGGATCATTTACTTGACTCACAATGTCTTGAAAGAATTTTTACCTTCTAACCATCATCATATAGCTCTTCTCTCTCAGTCTATCATCTTTATCTCTCTTTTTTATGTTCAATTCCATGAGTGTGACTCAAGAACAAATTTGAGTTAAAAAAATACACTTCTCGAGAAAATATATAACATATTTGAATATTTTTGCGTACTAAAAGACAACAAAATTACTTTTAATTGAATTATCAAACATTTCAGACAAATAAATTTCTACCTTATTTTATCAAGAACATGTATATATTGAGTATTATAAGACAACCAGATTTTTTTTCAATTGAATAATCTACTGCAACATAAAAAGAACATTTGGATGGCATGTTATGCGCATTTCGCAGCTACACTTTGACATCATGTTGCCTACTTTTCTTTGGGTAACTGAGGGCACACATCCAAACAATAACACTAAGAAAATAGAGTCTACTCACTTTTCTTTGGGTAACTGAATGCCAAAACTTTAAGCTTATTGCCCATAATGACACAATGGTCCCATCCTGAAATGTTAAGATCAAAGCCAAAGCCCATAAAAATGATAAGACCTGAAACAGGTATCTTTTTAGCCAGAAAGAAATCTGAGTAATATAAGACTTGAAACAGGTTTCTTTTAGCCAGAAAGAAACCTCCATCCGAAACGCATCTCCTAGTTAATTCATGAGAAAAAGTGCCTTAAAAAAGAGATGATTGTGAGTTTCCAAAAGTAGTGGTATCATAGAGGCTAGGCAAGCCCAATCCCCCATAAGGATTAGGGAGTGTAATCTTTCTTCAAGCAATGGTATGAATTTTTTTAATTACCCCATTATAATGAAGAAATGTAAAGAAGAGAGAGAAGTTAATTTTCTTCTGAAGACTTTGGGGAGAGTGGTGGATCTAAATGAAAAGTAGATATAATTCCATATAGTATTTTTATTGAATCATAATCTCCCAACAGTGGATAGATACCTGTTTCCAGATAACAATCAAGTATACACTTTATCAAGCATTTTGTTTCAATCCGCAACTGTCACTATAATAAGCTTAATAACCAAGAATAAATAATCCCAAGGAAAATGAATATTGAGAACTGTATGAGCATTACAAAGTAGTTGTTGGGTAGGAACATCCACAGAATTAGCAAAATAAATAGCAGATGTGTAGCACTTAAATTAGTAGTCTTATGGAAGAGCCTTAAAACATGAGAAAGATGATTAAAAGTATGGATGTCAGCCTTCCAAAAAATAAGAAAGTCGTCAACATACATGTACAACATGAAGAGGCAATTGAGCTATCCCAAAGGCAAGAGAAAGCATCCATAACCACAACATATAAACATGGAGACAAAGGGCACCCTGCCACAGCACATAGGGGGATGTGAAATAACCTTTTTATCTCAATATTTATAGAATAAGAAAAAAAATATATCAGTCATAGAAGATTTCATCCATCTTATGAACATAAAGGGAAAGCTAACAACAAAAGGTGACGAATTTTATCATAGGCTTTCATCAGATCAATCATGGAACATAAACTTTTCCTTGAATTTTTAGAGTTAAAGCCAAATAAAATTTCATTAGCTAATATAACATTCATTAGCTAATATAACATTCTTAGCGATGTTACAACCTTGCCATAATCATCATTAGAACTGTTGAGAATACTAGAAAAATAAGAGATGACAACACTTGCATTTCTATATTACTCTGGAACATAAGTACCATTGATCATAATTTCTTAAACGAAATTGAAGCTATTCCTAATTTTAATTTCTCGGCATAGAAATTTGATATCATCCTTACCTTTAGTTAGCCAAATTCATTTAACTTTTTCTTTAACCCAACTATACTCACAAGAAATGAAATTAGAGTTCATCTTGGATCTGGTCAGTCTTGAGGAGAAGCTACATGCAGCTAAACAACTTCCCATACCATTAAAAACACTTAGAATCTTGATTTTCAAACGCCAAATTTCAATTCAAAATTTTGATAATCAGCTTTATACTATAGATTAAATTATTATTACTAAAAAAAATTAATATATATATTTAAACATGAAAAAAATTATTTAATTTGAGCTCAAATCATGACATGAAATTTAATAGAACATGAACAAAAATTCTGAAAACCATTTACAAGACTATTTAACTTCTATTTAATACTAGAAATTTTTTAATGAAAACTCCTGAACTTCACTAAAGTCTTGAGCTTCAACTGAAAACTTCCAACTATCCGAAGCTAAAAATATTAATAAAAGCCAAGCCTAGTACCTGAAACAATATTCATTGAAGAGACAAATCTGAATTAGGCTATCAATTCAAGCCAATTACAACGTTCTGCTGACATTAAAGCAGCAGAAGTTCATATTCCTCCAAGATGCTGTCTAGCTAAACAAACCTTTACATATAAAATTAAGGTTTATGCTTACGTTACATATTCTGATCAAATGCCAGAAACGGAATGGGTGACATATTTAAAGCAAACAAAAACATTAACATTTGATCAACAAAACACAAGAACATTTTGACTTATATGACTGCAGAACAAAAATAACACTACAAAACCTGTTATAACTTCACTTTGACCAAAACTTCTTTCAAGAAGTTTTCTTTAGTCGGAACCCACAATCTTCTTTATGGCATCCTCAATTGCAGGGATAGCTTTTGCGAAGGCTTCCCACTGCTCCACGGTGAGGCTTATACCTGAGAATACAAGAAATAAAATAAAATAAATAACATCATTTCAACATGTGTTCGAAATATGTTAACAATAGGCACATGATCGCAGAAGCTCGGACAGGCGTTAGATTTTAGAACTGTTTTAATGCCACTCACAACAGTGAGGGAAAAAATGTGGGCACACACAAAATAAAAGAGAGACTCAAAAAATTGAGGGAAAAGAAATCAGGACCATATGATGAGAATTAGTATTAGCATGAAAAATGCCAACTCATGAGATGATATAATAATATATGCACATAATGTGTCATCTATGCTCAATAACTAACATAATAACAAATATGTACCACTAATAATAATTCAAAAACTAAACAACAGCAGGATCGAAATAACAACCATGGAATGGAACTAATAATGATGTTTTGCGGGTAATATACGGTAAGCCATAACTTGAATGCCGCACAAAGATGGGCATTAGAACTTATCAACTATGACATCACTGAACCCAGATATACGCATCCCCTGCTGCATCAGAGTTCCCTCTGGTGGCACAATACAAACGAGATGGAGGATGTCTGAAGGGAGCACCAGTGATGTCATTTAGAAGCAATAGAATTAAGGATTCTCATAAAATCGAAAGTCCACTTGCCAAGCATCAACAATAAGTATTGAAGAGTCTATGGATGTGTCTCCGCATCTCAACATATTCTACGAGTGTAAGGTTCTTTCACATTGGTAGAGTCGAGAGCTAAAAACAAAGCCATTGCCATGTCCATGTTGAGTTTTATGCATAGGAGGTAGGTAGCGTACCTAGAAGTCAATTAGCAGCATCAACATGTACAGAGCTCTCAATTATGACAATGATTGGATTTCGATAGTGGTTATCATTCAATACAAGCATAAGTTTATGTTAAATTTTAGGTTTAAACCAACGCCCAAATAAAGATTTCAGTTCATATGCTAATATAGATACATACTCAATGGTGGGATATGACATCTGATGAAGAACTCACGCATGGCATTAGTATAGGATGGAAATATGGATGCAGAAAATAATGTCCTTACCAGTAGAAGTAAAGATTAAATAGACGATAGTGGAAAGGTATCCACAGTTCCTCTCAATGTTTAAAACTTTTTGGTAGGACTTAAGATGATAAAAGTTTACCGGATTTCTAATTTTGGCCTGAGAGAGCCGAAGAATGTGGTATACTAGTAAAAGAATCTTTAGACAGACGATGCTTGATAACCAACACTTCAAGCTATCAAGTTGCTCATGGCACATTCTAGACTAATTACCAATAATCTCAATAAGAACAATCAATTTCCTTCTAAGCTACGGTAAATATTCCAAATTGATGTAAGACACAAACAGAAAGACACTGAAAAAAAATAATAATTCTAGCAACAATCAAATTCAGCACTGCAAAAGGAATCCAACCAATAGAACGGTTGATAACACTTGAATCATGCGGACACATCAAATGCTAAATAAATTAAATAAAAAAATCAATGATAAAAATCACCCAAAAGAAAATCTTAAGTCTTGGAATAGTATAAGGAGATTTACATCCTAAAATACCACCATAACCTATGAATCGCTTGAAGAACAAACATCCAATAACACATACAAAATCAAAAGGAAAAAATATGAAAGTGTACCTTGATGATCTACTGATAAAAAAAAACAGCTCACCAAAAAAATGAATTAAACACTTTTTCACTTCGAAGAAGTATAGCATGCGCATCAAACCCTAGAAGTGCAAATTACAAAGATCATGAAATCCCAAAACAGCATCAAGGTAAACCTAGACAAGATGAGGTGATCTTGGAGATGTCTTCCCAAAAACCATAACGATGTGCAATGATCAACAATGAAAATTGCAATCTTGCTCTCGAAGATCAATGATGGATGTTCGCCTTCCATCAAAATCATTAAGTGTGAATAACTTCATGTGGAGTGAGAATGTGAAGCGTCCTTCCAACATCTAAAGTCTCTTCTCTCTTCACCATGATAGTTAGAAAGTTCAAAGCCTAGAGAAGTTTTACTCCTATATCTCGAAATAAAAAGAAATGTTGTAAGTTCGATCCTGGTCTTAAACAAGGCGAGGAAACAGTATTGTTTCTACTATTTGAGTAAAACTATAGAAACTATGATACCTAATCATAATAAAATTAGCATTGGCACTACTGATTACACCAAAACTTTGACCCTAGTTTCAAGCACATCTCATCCATATGGCCACTAATCACCTACAAAAGACTTTAGTTGCCAAGCCATATCATTCTAAAACCAATATATATGCCTAAGACGGCCATCAAGGCACTAGCACTTGTTGACATTATAGTCAAATTCACCAACAACCAAGCAAAGTATAAAACTCTAATCAAAAGATTTTAATTCATAATTAAGATTGAAGTAACTAGCCTCATATTCACAATTCATTATGAATCATGTCAACAGTCGTTTCAAAGTTTGCCAAAAATTCAGCAAAAAAAAAAAAAAAGTGATTGGTATTTCATGCTTGAATAAATTCTAATATAGTGAAATCAAGTTGTCAACATACTCTCCAAAAATGGAGACCTCAACGAAAGGCCAACATTGGAGTTATGTTGCCTTAGTATCAAAGAAGCTTAAGAGATGAAGGTCAAAGAGGCTGTATTCACAAATTGGATGGTCCTATTCTTTGAGACTTGATGATAGAAAAAAATTTAGCTTATGTAGACGATCAATGAAAACTTAAATTAAGAGATCAGCAAAGCGAGCTAGTACCTGCTCATGGGTGGATAGTTAATTAAGAGATCAGTCACCAAGATGAATATAAGATGTATGAAAAAGGGCAAAGTGAAAAGGATTATGAGAAAAATCCATTCAAGAGAATGTGAAAATAATTTAAGTGAAAAGAACTCTAGCATATAGAATCCTTCAGCAGGGATACTTCTAGACAACTCTCCAAAAGAATGCAGATGTTTTTTCCAAATAGTGCAAAAAACATAAAAAAATTATGTTAACATAAAAACAACCCACTTATAATTTGCAAAATATATTCAGTCCTTGCAGTTTATGATTTGAATTTAATTTGATCATTTCTCCCATCCAGTGACCAAAATTGATCAATACAAAAGTCATGGAAAAGGCCACAACAAAAGTCATCTGCAGCTTTTTATAACCAGGCATTATGTATAAGTATGGCCTCCTAATTGTCATAACTGCAGATAACGGTCACAATTCTCAAAGAAGAAAATCAAGAAAATTTATCAAGCCCAAGGGATTTGTCTCAAATACATTTCAACCCACCATTTGTATCCAATGAACAAGTGAAAGAAACCAAATAACTTATTTTAGACCTCTCAATGAAGAAAATGAAAGTTCTCAAAAGCAATTGTACTAGAATATTGTTATCCATCTTATGGACCTTAAGAGCCACACTATCCTCAATAAATACCCAAACGACTTGCACTTCCCCACAGCATAAATTCCTTGCATCCATTTGAATATGAATTGTGTAACCAAAGTGTGATGGTTATCTTTTGAAGGGAAGGTAAGGAAAAATCAAGAAGACAGAGAAACAAATGTTGACCTATTAGAGGAGCTTCAGGCCCAGGCATCAATGGGACACATGGAGATCAAGAGTTGAACAGAAAAATACTATAGTGCAATAATCAAAACAAAACATTACAATTTGAGATATAGTTCTCAAGTAGGCAGATGTTATAGCTTGACAATCGGCACCTATGATAATTCAAGTTGGAAAGTCCTAGAAATCATTCAATTTAGGGGTCAACTATATGTATAAATTAATATTTTAACTCTGATATACATTTGTTTGTAACTCTTTAATATTTACTTTTTATTCGTTCGTTATGAGATCAAAGTGTGCCATTTTCTCGAAGCACCTAAATCCAGACAAATAGAGTTAAAATGTCGTTTCAATTAGTAATTTGTCTAATTATTTTTGAATAGTTTCTCTCCTTGGAACTCTTTCTATTCTTCTAAAATCAACTCTTTATTTCTACTCTATAAAACTTGCAAGTCTTACCAATAAGAGTTTGACATCATCACAGATAAGTATAGATCCAATCAGAATTACCTACCATATGCATCATTACTATCACAAGCATGTAGCACAGAAACAATAATATATGAGTAAAGATGAGAAAATTTGAAATGATAATGTTGCATCCACAAATGCAATATTTTTTATGGGTGAAATAATGTTGATCTTCATAACATGTTAATGCAATTGGTTTATAAAATTCGATGGCATTGAATCATAAGCATTGAGGAGACTTGATATAGTTTCTTTTAATCAATAGTGGCATTGCAGGGAAGCTATCACAATCGTTGGTGATTACAATAAAGCGATTTAGCATCAAGATGAAGTTAATGAACATGGTCTTAATCTTATTAGAACAAGTGTGGAAGATAATAGATTGCAGTTTTCTAGCAATGAATTTAATGAAGTATAGTGTAATGCAATAGTTTCCTATATGCATAACAGGAGGCAGACATGGAGAAGAGGTTCAGAAATGTAAGAAGAATGACGAATAAGAGCAATGCGCACGAAAGCATGTAGTAGAGAGAAGCAAAACATGAACTCAACAATAACATGCATAGCAGCAAGGTTGTGTGCAAGTGATATAGAGAGATATAGATGTCATATGTGGGTTTTCAGGTACAAGATTTGCAAATTCAGAAAACATATTATAAAAAAGGTAGGGTGAATTGTGCGTGAATCACATGATGCAAGCATGTAATAAGAAGTTGTAGTAGAAGTAAGAAAAAAATCTGAAAACATCAAATAGTTGGAGTTGGGGCAGGTGACATAGATAAGGATTGTAGCAAACAGGGCTTCAAAAGAGGCAATGTGCAATAAGTATTGACAAATGACATGCATGTTTATAATGTATGTTGAAGGCAACAATGCGCAGATTATGGATATCAAGAAGGAAAGTTTGTGGAAGCGAACATAGATTCGATCACACGAAATGAGAATGAGGGTTCTAAGTTGGGAGGATACAAGATA